CTCTACTATCATCCGGGACATTATCATCATCGACATCAATAGCTACTGGTGCCGGAGAAGTAGGTGTAGAGGAGGGTTTGGAACCCTGGCTTCCCGCATCAGAACCCCCAGAGGAACTACATGTAGGTTCGTCACGTAATTGATAACGCATAGTGGGTTGGAGTGGTTGGGACTGGGCCTCAGGTTGGACCTCCATTGAATGACCCTCGGAGGCTTCCCTGGATAGGGCATAGGAACTGTATTCTAAGGGCTCTGTGGCCCTTCCTCTCCCGGTGGTCGACTTTTTAGCAATAGGCTTCGATTGCACTCGCAGAGGGCGAGTGCCTTTTCCTCTGCCTCGGGAGGATTCACTTCTCCCTTTTGATGTATCGCCTCTACCACGTGATCTAACCATTGTCTGCAATATAAGGTACATAGGTCAGTTGAGTTCAAAACAATTCAAACATTTGCAGAACAGTTGCAACACAATAGTCATCAAAGGAGACAGTGCGGACCGCACAATTCCGAGTGCGGCCGCAGACTGTCTAGTGCAGACCGCACAATTTTGAAGTGCGGTCGCACCCTCTGAAGTGCTGACCGCATAATTGTGAGTGCGGACGCATATCCTGAAGTGCGGACCGCATAATTTTAAGTGCGGCCGCACAAGTCCAATCCTGAGATACTGATTCTCTGAAGTTCAAAAGTGCGGTCGCACACATTTTTATGTGGCCGCACAATTTTTCTGCGGACCGCACAATTTTGAGTGTGGTCCGCACTTTTCAAGCACAATATTTTCCCTAATCAAGTGGTCTGCGGACCGCACAATTTGAACATTTACGACAGTAAAGTTAGGGTTCATGTAATTTTTTACAATTTAGACATGGCATGTACAAATTAACATGAGNAACATGATTAATGGTCTACCTAGTCCCTAATGAACATATATGAAACTACCCACATGATTTTAAGCACCCATGACTAATAATTGACATTTTAGGTCTAACAATAACTCTACCACAAAAGAAC